CCGCGCTGATCCGAAGGCAGGAGCCAGGTGCTTATCCTGGTCTCCCATGCAGGTGCAGGTGCAGGGGCCAAGCACTTGGGCCATCCTCCACTGCACTCCCTAGCCACAGCAGAGAGCTGGCCTGGAAGAGGGGCAACCGGGACAGAATCCAGCGCCCCAACCGGGACTAGAACCCGGGGTGCTGGCGCCGCAGGCGGAGGATTAGCCTAGTGAGCCGCGGCGCCGGCTGAAGGGGATTAAATTTCAACAGAAATTTAATTTGGTCCATTGCTGATTCCAGCACAGTTTCTCCAAGATACTTTGTTTCTAGATAAGAAGATCCCATAGTACATATGTCCTGGCCTTTGCTTGTTTGTGGTAATTCTTTGTGCAGAAAAGCTTTTGAGATTCAATATCATTTAAAATTTTCTAAGATTTCTATGTGACATACTCATGTCGGTGGAATCTTTTGATTTGTCACCCTGCATGCATAGATTGTTTCTTAGTTTATGAAGCCTCTTCAGCATCATGATGTGTTATCTGTTTGCTGTTGGAGAGTACAGCCTCTTACAGGATGACATTTTAAAATCTCCACCAGCTTCGTTATACCTGCCTCCTCTCCCTTTTATGGGCAGTAAGTTCTGCTACTAATAACATGCTTCCCAGAGATGATTGTTTGGCCTAGTGATTGGGCTGCAGGTGGAGATGCCTGTATTCCATATTGGAGTGCCTGGTTGGGAAACTTCTGACTGCAGACCCTGGAGGCAGCAGGGATGGTGGCAATGGCTTGAGAGACTGGATTCCTGCTATCCTTGTGGAAGATCTGGATGAAGCTCCTGGCTCCCATCTTTAGCCCCTAGGATGAGTGAGTCAGTGGATGGGAGCTCACTCTGTCTGTCCCTTCCCTCTCTGTCTCTTAAATCAATCAATCAATCTTAAAGAATGGATCCAAACAAAAAACAACAGGGGCATGTGTTTGGCCCAGCAGTTGACATACTGCTTGGGCTATCTGCCTCTCATAATGAAGTGTCTGGTTGGACTCTCGGCTGTGCCTTTTTTTTTTTTTTTTTCCTGACAGGCAGAGTTAGAGAGAAAGGTCTTCCTTCCATTGGTTCACCCCCAGATGGCTGCCACGGCTGGCACGCTGCGCCGATCCGAAGCCAGGAGCCAGGTGCTTCCTCCTGGTCTCCCACGCGGGTGCAGGGCCCAAGCACTTGGGCCATCCTCCACTGTCCCCCCGGGCCACAGCAGAGAGCTGGACTGGAAGAGGAGCAACCGGAACAGAATCCGGCGCCGCAGGTGGAGGATTAGCCTAGTATGCCGTGACACCAGCTTGGCTCTGTTTCTAATTCTGTCTTTCTGCTAATGTACACACTACAGAGCAGCAAATGATAGCTCAAGCATATGGGTTTCTGCCATGCTTATGGGAGAACCGGAATAAATTTCAGGCTCCTGGCTTCAGACTGACCCAGCCCAGCTCTGCCTGTTGTAGGCATTTAAGAAGTGAAACATTGGATGGAAGATCCATTTCTCTGCCTTTCAAATAAAGTGAAATTATATAAACAAAAGTTAAAAACAATAATAAAGCTTTGATTTGAGATTCTAGTAAGTACCTTGATTTGTCTACTGGTGGATTTTTTGTCTTTTCAGTTTCCTGGATCTATTATAAGTTGTTTGCCATAGGCGATGCACAGTGGAAAAGGAGGATTACCATCCCATGTGAAAATTGTTGATTAGTAGTTAGCTTTGTAGTGTCAGTTGTTGTCTTGTATCATCCCTCATTATTTTTAAGATTTTATTTATTTGAGAGTTAGAGGGAGAGACAGAGATAGGTCTTCTAACTGCTGGTTCATTTCTCAAATGGCTGCAACCACTATCTCTGGACCGATCCAAGGCCGTGAGATTCTTCTAGGTCTCCCACCTGGGTGCAGGAGCTCAAGCACTTGGGCCATCTTCCACTGCAGCAGAGAACTGGGTCGGAGGAGGGGCAGCCGGGACATGAACGGGTGGCCATATGTGATATCTGCTCCGCAGACAGAGGCTCAGCTTGCTAGCCACAGCGCCAGCCCTTCCCTCTTTTTTTTTTTTTTTTAAACGATTTATGTAGTTGAAAGGTTGAGCAGCAGAGGCTGGGTGGGGTGGATGGTGGGGAGAGATCTTTCATCCATTGGTTCATTCCTGAAATGTCTTCTGTGGCCAGGCTGAAGCCAGGAGGCAGGAATTCCATCCTGGTATCCCAGATGGGTAGCAGGGACCCAAGCACTTGGGCCATTTTCCACTGCCTTCCCAGACATTATTAGCAGGGAGCTAAACTAAAAGTAGAGTGGCTGGTACTCAAATCAGCAATCCAGAATGGGGTGCTTATATCATATGTGGTGTACCCCCAGTTTGGTATTTCTTGCTATATTGGTATAGTAACATGACTTGGGAAATTATAGTTCTTTATTATTAACCATAGTAAAATTGCTTATCAGTCTAGATTTGGAATCCTCTTCCATCACAAATATCATCTTAAAAAAAATCACATCGGTTGGTCAGACATGTTTGTGAAACAAGTACTAGGGATAGAGGTATCTGGCACAGTGGTTAAGACGCTGCTTGGGACATCCATGTTAGAATGCCTGGGTTTGAGTCCCAACTCTGCTGTCTATTCCAGCTTCCTGCTAATGCATACCTTGGAAGGCAGCAGGTAAGGGGAATAACAACTGAGAAAGTTAAGAAAAAAAAAAAAAAAAGAAAGAAAACCTCACAGTGAAGGTTACTTTTTTTTTTTTTTTTTTACTACATGATCTGTGCTTTGCCGCATTTACAACAGAAGAGCAGCAGATAGCAGTTGAATCATGGTGTGTGAACATTACTTGAATCAGTGAACATTTCCGTCAGATTTCCTATTTATGCCTGTAGAGCTTGATTGCTCCCCTAAGTTAACTGACACTGTAAGGGGAAGTTGGGGGATATAATTTGGAAGGGAATTGCTGACATTCTCGTTCCCCTGTGTTCCCATTTGTGAGGTGTATGGTTTACCAGTTATAAAAGCTCTCCTCCATTTTGCAGAAAAAAAGAGGTGATCTTAGCAGCATGAACATAGTCCTACTTGTGTGCTGCTACTGCTTGCTGCTAATAGACTTCTAATGAAACTGCTAGCATGAACTCAGTAATGACCTGTTAACCATAAGCATTAGTACTTTGTGAAGTTAAAACATTTATTTCTTAATATCTTGATTTTTTTTTTTTTGTAACTTTAGGGTTTTGTGGAATGCTGGTTGAGAAGCCCTATTACAAGCCATTATGCTCGCCGGCGCCGCTGCTCACTAGGCTAATCCTCCACCTTGTGGCGCCGGCACACCGGGTTCTAGTCCCGGTTGGGGCGCCGGATTCTGTCCTGGTTGCCCCTCTTCCAGACCAGCTCTCTGCTGTGGCCAGGGAGTGCAGTGGAGGATGGCCCAAGTCCTTGTGCCCTGCACCCCATGGGAGACCAGGATACGCACCTGGCTCCTGCCATCGGATCAGTGCGGTGCGCCGGCTGCAGCATGCCAGCCGCACGGCTATTGGAGGGTGAACCAATGGAAAAAGGAAGACCTTTCTCTCTCTCTCTCACTCTCACTGTCCACTCTGCCTGTCAAAAAATAAAGAAAAAAAAAAAAAAGGCAAGCCATTATGAAAACGTATGCTACGGCCAGTGAAGTAGCAATGCTTTTTTTTTTTTTTAAATTGGCGCCGTGGCGTAGTGGGTAAAGCCGCCACCTGCCGTGCCGGCATGGTTCAAGACCCGGCTGCTCCACTTCTGATCTTGCTCTCTGCTATGGCCTGGGAAAGCAGTAGAAGATGGCCCAGGTCCTTGGGCCTCTGCACCGGTGTGGGAAACCTGGAGGAAGTTCCTGGCTTTGGATTGGCACAGCTCTGGCCATTGCAACCAATTGTGGAGTGAACCAGTGGATGCAAGACCACTCTCTGTCTCTCCTTCTCTGTGTAACTCTGCCTTTCAAATAAATACATAAATCTTTTTAAAAAAATTAGCACATAGAGAACATAGCATTAAACATCTGAACAGTAGCATGTAGGATGCAGTTTACTTAGTGAATTGTCTGTTAATGGCCACTAGGGTTATTTCTAATATACATATATATTTAAAGATTTATTTATTTATTTGAAAGTCAGGGTTAAACACAGAAGGAGAGGCAGAGTGAGAGAAAGGTATTCCATCCACTGGTTCACTCCCCAATTGGCCGCAATGGCCGGAGCTTCCTCCGGGTCTCCCATGTGAGTGCAGGGGCTCAAGGACTTGGGCCACCTTCTACTGCTATCCCAGTCCATAGCAGAGAGCCGGATTGGAAGTGGAGCAGACAGGTTTCAAACCCGTGCCCATGTGGGATGCCGGCACTGCAGGTGGCGGCTTAACCCACTACACCACAGCGCTGGCCCCTCTAGTATTTTTCTTGTACAAACAATATTGCAATGACTTTTAATCACTTTTTTTGTGCTGTGCTGGCATGTTTATAGGGTAAATTCCTAGAAATAAGATTGCTATGTCAAAGGATTTAGTTAATTCACACTGCCAAACTGCTCTCTAGGGTTGTACCAGTTTATACTGTTATCAGTAGTCTTTGAGAAAGGCATTTTCCTCTAGTTTCACTAATAAAATTGGCAGACATTTGGAATTGTTCAGCTCGAATAAGTGAGAAATATCTTGGCAAAAATTGAGTGTCTTTTCGTATGTTTAAGATCGTTTGTATTTCTTTTTCTGTCATCTGAGGATTCGTCTCTTTGGGTATTTCCTTGTTAGGTGTTTGGAGCTCTTAAATATTAAGATTAGCTCTTTGTGATGTGAGTTGCAAATGCTTTTTTCTTGTTATATGATTTTTTTATTCTATCTGATTTCATCATCAGTGCTTTTAATTAGTATAATTTTACTGCCTCAAATAATACATGTTCTATATTCCTGAAAGGATTTATTTATGGGTAGCTTTGATTTAGTGTATCTAGCATTTTAAAACACTGACAATGATTTCTTCCCTCAATAGACACGACATCAGCGAGGAGACACACATCCTCTAACTTTAGAAGAAATTTTGGATGAAACCCAGCATTTAGATATTGGACTCAAGCAGAAACAGTGGTTAATGACTGAGGTAAGAAAAGGCTTAAAATATAATAAAAATAATTGGTTAATAACCAGGAGATATTTTCTTTATAATGTTTTTAAATAATATTGAAATCTGTGCTTTTTTTTTTTTTTTAAGTTTTATTTATTTAAAAGGCGGAGTTAGGGAGAGACAGATTTTCCATCTGCTGGTTCACTCCTCTGATGGCCGCAATGGCTGGAGCTTGCATAATCCGAAGCCAGGAGACGAGAGCTTTTTCCTGGTTTCCCGCATGGGTGCAGGGGCCCAAGGACTTGGACCATCTTCTGCCGCCCCCCCCCTTTTTTTTGCTATTGAATAGGCCTGTTTATTACTTATGAATGTATTTTAGCTGGCAAAAATTTTTTTGCATTTATCACATATAACACAATATTTTGAAATACATGACATGGCTAAATGAATTAATGGATATGAGTTATCTGAATACACTTATCTTTTTTGTGATGGGAACACTTAAAATTTACTCCTAGTAAATCCTCAAGAATACACTTTGTTCCGTGGTTTTCATGTTATACGATAGACGGTTTTAACTTTTTCCTCCTATTTACCTGAAATTTTGTACCATTTTATCAACATCCTGCCAAGAGGCAGGCCCTGCTTGACCCTGGTACCCACTATTACACCCTCTACTTCTTTTTTTTTTTTTTTTAATTTAATAAATGTGAATTTACTAAGTGCAACTTTTGTATTGTTGTGGCTCCCCCCCCAACCTCCCTCCCTCCCGCAGCCCTCCCCTCTCCCACTCCCATCCTGCCCTTCATCAAGTTTCATTTTCAATTACCTTCATATACAGAAGATCAACTTAGTATACACTAAGCAAGGATTCCGACAGGCTGCACTCACACAACCGCAAAAGGTATAGGGCATTGTTCGACTAGTAGTGTTGTTTTTAAGTTTCATAGTAAAACACATTAAGGACAGATCCTACTTGGGGAGCCTGTACTCAGTGACTCCCGTTGTTGATTTAACAATTGGCACTCTTATTTACGACATCAGCAATCACCCGAGACTCTTGCTATGAGCTGTCTAGGCTATGGAAGCCCCTTGAGTTCACCAACTCTGAACTTGTTTAGTCAAAGCCATATCACAGTGGAGGTTCCTTCCTCCCTTCAGAGAAAGGTGCCTCCCTCTTTGATGGCCTGTTCCTTCTGCTGGGGTCTTGTTCACCAGGATCTTTCATTTAGATTGTTTTTTGCCAACATGTCATGGCTTCCCATGCCTGTGAGACTCTCATGAACCTTTTAGCCAGATCCGAATGTCCCAAGGGTTGATTCTGAGGCCGGAGTGCTGTTTTGGGCCTTTGCCATTCTATGAGTCTGCTGTGTGTCCTGCTTCCCCCACAGGATCATACTCTCCCTTTTAATTCTGTCCTTCATTGTTTGCTTACGCTGGTCTTATTTGTGAAATCTCTTCGATACTTACCTATCTTTTTGATCAGTTGTGTATTTATACTTATCACTTTACCAAGTGCACTGGCATTGGTACCTGCCTCCTTGGTAAGATTGAGCTGAAATCCCCTGACACATTTCTAGTTCCACCATTGGAGGTAAGTCCGAGTGAGCATGTGCCAACCTATATATCTCCTCCCTCTTATTCCAACTCCTGTGTTTAACAGAGATCACTTTTCTGTTAATTTTAAACACCTAAGAATGATTGTGCATTGATTACAGAGTTCAACCAGTTACGTAGAACAAACAGAGCAACAACAACAACAAAAATGCTAAAAGGAATAAAATAGTAAGTTGTTCTTCAACAGTCTAGACAAGGGCTGCTCATGTCATTGTCTCCCATAGTGTCCATTTCACTTCAATGGGTATCATTTTAGATGCTCGTTTAGTTGCCATTGATCAGGGAGCTGAATTGGAAGTGGAGCAGCTGGGACTCAAACGGGAGCCCATATGGCATGCTGGCACTGCAGGCGATGGCTTTACCCATTATGCCACATCACCAGCCCCTTTACTTTTTCTTAAAAGATTAAAATTCCTAAAATAAAATTGATTTATCTTACCAAGTAAAATAGAGTTCTTGATTTTCATAATAAGCCAGTTAATTGGTATCATTGTAGTTTGTTATATTAATCGTATACAAATATTAGTCCACATTGAAAATTGCTGGTTTACCTATGGAATTTCATAGACTTACTAACATTAATTAAAGATTATTTTGGGGGGCTAGGGCAGTCACTTAGCCTACAGGTTAAGAGGTAGGTTGAGCTGGCGCTGCGGCTCACTAGGCTAATCCTCCGCCTTGTGGCACCGGCACACCGGGTTCTAGTCCCGGTCGGGGAGCTGGATTCTGTCCCGGTTGCCCCTCTTCCAGGCCAGCTCTCTGCTGTGGCTAGGGAGTGCAGTGGAGGATGGCCCAAGTACTTACGCCCTGCACCCCATGGGAGACTAGGAGAAGCACCTGGCTCCCGCGTTTGGATCAGTGCGGTGCGCCAGCTGCAGCGGCCATTGGAGGGTGAACCAATGGCAAAAGAAAGACCTTTCTCTCTGTCTCTCTCTCTCTCACTGTCCACTCTGCCTGTCCAAAAAAAAAAAAAAAAAAAAGGCAGGTTGATACACCTGCATCCCGCATTGGAGTGCCCTGGGTTCCATTGCTGGCTCTAGCTCCTGATTCCAGCTTTCTGCTGATGCATAGTCAGGGAGGCAATAGGTGATGGTTCATGTGTTGAGTCTGTGCCTCCTCCATGGGAAACTTTCATAGAGTTCCTGGCTCCTGGCTTTGACCTCTGGCCCAGCTCCAACCGTTGTGGGCATTTGGGAAGTGAAACAGCAAAAGAGAAATCTCTCTCCCCCTACCTCTTCCTCCTTCCTTCCCTCTTTATCTCTCTGTCACTCTGCCTTTCAAACAATTAAATTTTTTGAAAGATTATTTTGGGTGTGGATAGGCATTTAGCCTGGAGGTTAAGATATCCTACATCAGAGTACCTGAATTCTATTTCTGGTTCACACCCTGATTCTAACTTGTGACTACTGCATATCGTGGGAGGCAGCAGGTCATGCCTCAAGTAGTTGGGTCCTTACCTAACCCATGTGGGAGATTGGATTGAACTCCCAGCTTTGGCCTCCCAGTTAACAAGGACACATTAATGGGGTGAACCAACAGATGGAGCCCTCTGTCTCTGTCTCTCAAATAAATTTAGAAGTTTTAAAAATCCAAAAAAGTAAACATTACGAAAGTTATTTGCATTGTATTACTATTCTAGTCTCCCTGTTTTCTTCTCTATGCCTTTCTTCTCTCTCCTTTTCAGGCCAGGCTGACAGCTGCAGCAGAAAACACGTAGGGTTACTCTTTCTTGAAGACCTTTCCTTGTTAGTTGTACAGCTGAACTAACTAGGAACCTAATTACACTCATTAATCCCTGCACTCTTTTTTGTTTCATTCTGTAGCTGCCATTGGTGCAATTTTTCTATGGCTAAGGCTGATGGATTTCAGGTTGTTGCACAACTACTAGTGGCAGTAGATACCAGGTGGGGGAACAATGATCGTTGATTTGTTCATTCCAGGGTAATGCTTTTCACTAAGTTACAATTCCAGTGTATGAGGAACAGTACTTTGGACTGGGATGGGCAGTAACCCAGCTTACTTGTCTATTAATATTAATGGATATTTATTTGGCTCTTACACATTTTGTCTTCCAAAAGAACATGGGTTCAGATTTTTTCAATGGCATTTTAATAAAGTGGTTTATTTCTCTCCTAAGGGATTATGTAAATAATAATGCAAAAATTTTTTTTTTTTGTAAAATGTGAGCACCAGCTGACCTTTAGCTATTCTAGAATCCTGGATGTACAGTGCTTTAGATCTGCTAGTTGTCCTTGCAGAATATTTTAAATTTGCTACTGCATTGGGTAGTGTTAAATATTAAAATGAAAATTTAATAATGTATATATGACATTTCCTTTTGGTAATATATCTAAATTGTGTCACTGTTACAGGCATTAGTCAACAATCCTAAAATTGAGGTCATAGATGGGAAATATGCTTTCAAGCCTAAGTACGACTTAAAAGATAAGAAGGCCCTGCTGAGGCTCCTAGATCAGCATGACCAGCGAGGACTAGGAGGAATTCTTTTAGAAGACATAGAAGAAGGACTGCCCAATTCCCAGAAAGCTGTCAAGGTAACCTCTCTTTGCTTTCTTTGTCTTACTAAACAATTTGGATTAACAATATCTTGGTTTTGGGCCCAGCATTATGGTGTAATGGGTTAAGCTGTCACCAGTAATGCTGGTATCACTTATGGGATGCCTTTTTATGGACTGGCTGCCTCACTTCTGATCCAGCTCCTTACTAATAGCCTGAGAAAACAGCAGAAGATGGTTCAAGTACTTGGGCTCCTGCCACCCACGTAGAGACCGGAGGAAGCTCCTTGCTCCTCACATCAGCCTGGCCCAGCCCTGGCCACTGGGCTCATCTGGTGAGTGAGCCAGTGAATGGAAGATCTCTGTCTCTCTGTAACTCTGACTTTCAAATCTTTTTTTTTAAAGTCTTGGTTTTAAAATTTGTTTTAAAAATTATTTTTAAAGCCTCCTCATATACATGTGGGCAGTAGTGAGCCATTTGAAGATTTGATAATTGTCTTGTACCACAGTACAGGAAAGAGTAGCCTTTGTGTAACTTTGGCAAGTCTTTTTTGTTTTGTGTGGTTTGATTCTTTAGAATATTTCATGATAATTTTCTTCAGACATTCTTGTTTCTGGTCTGTTATATTTGTAAACAAGTGCTACTTAACCTATTCTGGTAGATAGTGGTTACCTGAGGAATTACAGGCATTAAAACACAAAAACATCAATTAATAACCTGGCTGTTTTGAAATCCTGGATGGATTATCAATAAAATTCATACAGATAACATTTCCAGTTAAAATTTGACTTACTTGTTTTTTTAAAGATTTAGTTATTTTATTTGAAAGGCAGAGTTATAGAGAGGCTGAGGCAGAGAGAAAGAGAGGTCTTCTATCCACTGGTTCACTCCCCAGATGACTGGAGCTGAGCTGATCTGAAGCCAGGAGCTTCTTCCAGGTCTCCCATGTAGGTGCAGGGGCCTAAGCACTTGGGCCATCCTCTACTGCTTTCCCAGGACACAGCAGAGAGCTGGATTGGAAGTGGAGTAGCTGGGACTCGAATCGGTGCCCATATGGGATGCCAGCACTGTAGGCGGTGGCTTTACCTGCCATGCCACAGTGCCAGCCTCGTTTTTTTTTTTTTTTTTTAATTTGACAGACAGAGACAGAGAAAGATCTTCCTTCCGTTGGTTCAACCCCCAAATGGCCACCATGGCCGGCACTGCGCCAATCCAGAGCCAGGAACCAGGTGCTTCTTCCTTCCTGGTCTCCCATGCAGGCACAGGGGTCCAAGTACTTGGGGCATCCTCCACTGCCCTCCCAGGCCACAGCACAGAGCTGGATTGGAAGAGGAGCAGCCAGGACTAGAACCTGGCGCCAATACAGGATGCTGGCGCCGCAGACAGAGAATTAACCAAGTGAGCCACAGTGCCGGCCACTATTTTGGTCTTTTTTTTTTTGACAGGCAGAGTGGACAGTGAGAGAGAGAGAGAAAGGTCTTCCTTTGCTGTTGGTTCACCCTCCAATGGCCGCCGCGGCCGGCGCGCAGCAGCCGGCGCACCACGCTGATCCGATGGCAGGAGCCAAGTGCTTCTCCTGGTCTTCCATGGGGTGCAGGGCCCAAGCACTTGGGCCATCCGCCACTGCACTCCCTGGCCACAGCAGAGAGCTGGCCTGGAAGAGGGGCAACCGGGACAGAATCCGGCACCCCGACCAGGACTAGACCCCGGTGTGCTGGCACCGCAAGGCGGAGGATTAGCCTAGTGAGCCGTGGCGCCAGCCAAGTTCATTTTGATAGTCAATTCTCTAAATATCTTGTTTTTAAGATTTTATAGTTTTCTTTGGGGATTCCTCCTTTAGAAGATACTTGGCTGTTTTAAGAAGCAGAACCCTCCTAAGATTTTTATTAAAAATTTATTTATTTTATTTGAAAGGCAGAGTATTTGCATGCTCGTGTGTGCAGAAGAGGAAGAGAGACAGAGATCTCTTCCATCTGCTGGTATACTCCCCAAATACCCTCCAGTGCCAGGACTGGGCCAGGCTGAAGCCAGGCACTCCAAATGAGTCTCCCCTGTATGGGGGGGGACTCATGTTTTGAGTCTTCACTTGGTGCCTCCTAGGATGCACGTTAACAGGCAGCAGCATTGGAAACACTGAGCAGCTGGGACATTCCTGATACGCGATTTTGGCATCCCAAGTCATGGCTTAACCCACTGTGCTACTGTGCCCTCTGTGCCATGATACTCCACTCTTTTGTCCCTTTTTTTTTTTTTTTCTTTTTAAGATTTATTTTCTTTATTTGTAAGGCAGAGTTAGAGAGGGAGAGGCAGATCTACCTTCCCTGATTCACTCTCCAAATAGCTGCGATGGCCAGGGCAGGGCTAGGCCAAAGCCAAGAGCCAGCAGCTTCTTCTGGGTCTCCCACGTGAGTGTAGGGGCCCAAGGATTTGGGCCATCTTTTGTTGCTTTCCCAGGGAATTAGCAGGGAGCAGGATTAGAAGTGGAGTAACTGGGACTCAAATCACTGCCCATATGAGATGCCTGCATTGTAGGTGGCCCCTTATCCTATTTTCTTAGGGAGCAGTATTATTACCACAGAACAGGCTCTTTGTTACTTTTGAAAGTAGAACAGGGCTGTAATATGATGATTGCTTAGTCTGTTTTAAATAATTTTTGAGGTAAGGTCACTTTGACACTGGATCTTCCCTGGCTCTGTTCTCTTAGGGTTAGAGCTGAAGGGGTTGTGAAAGCATGCTGTTAGTTCTCACTTTCAGACAGGAGTTATTTCTAAATGGTGTTTTCTGTTTTTAATAATGTGAGGGTGTGTTCTGTTGGAAGTAATTTCTCAGTTAAATTCCATCGGTATAGTTTTTTCTTCAGTTCTTGGTGGGGATGGAAGATAACCATATTGTCATTTTGTTGCTTACACTTTGAAGGGCTAGCAGGGAACACAAAAAATTGTGCGAAGTCAAAATGAGAATGAAGACAGACAGTGACTTCCAGATTACTCATCTCTCAGTAACTACTACTTGAGAATTGTCTGATAACTAAATTGCCAGTTAATTCAATTCTTTTTTAATTTTTTTAATTTTTCCCCCGAAGAAAGCCAACATAGTTCTATTAGGCAGTCTACATTTGTGAGGTAATGCATTAAATTTAATTGTTGTATTGAAATATCTACTTTTCAGGGTTTCTAAATAAATTTTTAAAATGTTTAATTGTACTAAAAACCATGCAACATAAAGTTTAAGATCTTAACCATTTTTAAGTTTATAATTCAGTAATGGTAAGTATTCACATTATGATGCAAAAGATCTCCAAAACTTTTACATTTTACAGAACTGAAACTCTGTATCCCTCATACAACTATTCCTTTGCTCTCAGAACCACAGTCTCTGGAAGTCACTATTCTATTTGACTACTGTAGATACCTTTAGTCTAAGTGGAATCCTGCCTTGTTGTCTTTTTGTGACTGGCCTATTTTACTTTGCATAATATCCTCAAGGTTTATCCATGTTATAGCATATGATAGGATTTGCTTCCTTTTTTTTTTTTTTTCCTTAAGTTGAATGATACTCCTTTTTGTGTATATGCCACATTTAATCTATTCACCCCTAGGTGGACATTGAGTTGCTTCTACCCCTTGGCTATTAAATAATGCTGCTGTCAACATGACTGTGCAAATATATCTCTTTGAGACTCACTTCACTTTTTAAGGATTATGTGAATATGATATATAAATATGATATGCTGGATTATATGAATCTGAGAGTTTTTAAATTTTTGAGGATGCTGTTTTCAGTATTAGCTGCATTAGTTTGAATCCTTACCAACAGTTCACAAGGGTTCCAGTTTTTCTACTTCCCTTGTCCACGCTGTTTTCTGTATTTTTTAAAATTCTAGAAAATACATTTATTTGAAAGAGTTAGGGAAAGAGAAAGAGATCTTTCCTCTGCTGGTTCACTCCCCAGATGGCCATAATGGCCAAGGCTGGACAAAGCTGAAGCCAGGAGTTTCTTCCAGGTCTCCCACGTAGGTAGCAGAGCCCCCAAGGACTTTAGCCATCTTCCACTGCTTTTAACCAGGCCATCATCAAGGACTGGATTGGAAATGGAGCAGCCTAAGACATGAACTTGCACACCTATATGGGATTGCTGGCGTTGCAGGTGGCAGTTTTACCTACTATGCCATAATGCCAGCCCCTCTATATTTTTGGTACTAGCCATCCTGATGGGTGTGATCTGATGGGTCATTGTGGATTTTGTTTTTTTAATGATTAGTGATGTTGAACACCTTTGTATGCTTGTTGACCATTGTTTGACTACATCACCTTTGGAGAGATTCAGCGCAGTGCGCCGGCCATGACGGTCATTGGAGGGTGAACCAATGGCAAAGGAAGACCTTTCTCTCTGTCTCTCTCTCTCTCACTCACTGTCCACTCTGCCTGTCCCAAAAAAAAAAAAAAAAAAAAAAAAGGATGTGTTGTTGTTGTTGCTGTTGTTGAGTTGTGAGACCTCTTTATATAGCCTGGATATTAAGGAACATGACTTAAAAATATTTTCTCTCATAAGTTACTTGAATTTGCTGTAGTCTCATTTCTCTGTTTTAAGAAAATTATTTGAAAGAGCTGGGTCACTGGAAATGGAACTGCCTTGGTGGTTGGAGGACTGCTGGGTCAGAGCCGCCGGACCCTGTTGGGCCTGAGCTGAAAAGCCCTTAGCTCTGCCCAGCTTCCAAAGTAACCACTGCTGCTGAGGGGACAGACAAGTAGGGTCAGCAGCGTTGCAGACAGAACTGTAAATTTTGTATTCGAGATACCACCTGCATTTACCTGGCCAGCTCTTCTTTTTTTTTTTTTTTTTTTTTTTTTTTTTTTTTTTTTTTTTGACAGGCAGAGTGGACAGTGAGAGAGAGAGACAGAGAGAAAGGTCTTCCTTTTGCCGTTGGTTCACCCTCCAATGGCCGCCGCTGCAGCCGGCGCACCGCGCTGATCCTGGCAGGAGCCAGGAGCCAGGTGCTTTTCCTGGTCTCCCATGGGGTGCAGGGCCCAAGCACCTG